TAACCTGCCTTGAAATCCCCTCCTTGATTTTGGTACAGGCAGCCTCGAAGGGAATCACTCCAGGTCTCGCAGAGAGTGAGCAGATGTGCTTATGAGCAGGTTAGCTGTGCGCCCAGGAGCCTCCGCCGGGTTCTAAGCAGTCACCTGGGCAAACCCAATATTAAAAGGGCAGCTGAGGTCAAACCTAGGGAACCTGGCTGAGAGCGTCTAGAGGATTAGGTGGCTTACAGAGCCCAACCAATCAAGCAATCAAGCTCCAGGTGCTGCTGGGAATGGRAACAGCCGCTCTGTCGGAAGCCAGTGACAGTTTCACCAGAGGACGCAGGCTACTTTCATCTTCTAGCCCTGGGCTGCTCCTCACAGCTGGGCACGAGTCAGTAGCAGGCTCTGTAAGTGACCCTCGGGTCAGGACGGAGGAGTGCACACCTGCTTGCCCTGTTGACTCRGCTTGGAGCTGCGCCTGGACAGGGCCCCAGTGCGGGAAGGCGGAGGCTTCTTCCGCCTGCCTTGGGAGCTCTGTGACAGAAGGGGAGCCATTTGATGGGGAGCCTTGGGCAGCAGCCTTTCCTGGGAGAACTTCTGGAGTGGCCCTCTGTCCCGTCTCAGCGCCTGTGTCTTCAYGGCACGTGGCCATTCTCGGCTGACCACAGTGCCTTAGGACTTCAGCCCCTCAGAAAACACTCTCCTCTCGGTGGAGTGGGGTGAGTGGCAGGTGCACCTACCCCCCATGTGTATTCCATCTGGGGCAGCACGGGTGTGGAGCATCTTCATGGAGGAGACTCGGGGTTCTCAGGGCTGCACCAGAGGGGGGAGACGCACGGCAGGTGGCTGCCCTCCTCCCCCCTTGCTGTGTGGGAGCCATCACCACCTGATCCCTGTGATCTTCACAGCATCACCAAGGGATGCCTCACGGCTTCCACGACATCACCCCTCAACCCCTCACAACATCACCACCTGACCCCACAACACCACCCCTCGACCCCTGTGACCTTCAGGACATCACCCCTCAACCCCTCACAACATCACCACCTGACCCCACAACACCACCACTTGACCCCTCATGACATCCCCACTCTACCTCTGTGGCCCTCACACTGTCACTAGTGGATACCTTTGACCTCCGTGACAACATCACTCAACCTCTAGTGRCCTTGGTTCTCGCTGAGCCTGGACTTGGCCTCGGAACGCTCTGACCATGGCAGCACAGCCATCGACCCTGGACCACTGGGCTTGATGTCCTGGCTGTTTTCCACCTGCCGGCCTCACGGTTCTGACCTCCACTCAGCGCAGGGGTGACGTGACAGCTCCTTAATGTCCACTTTCCCCCAATACGCTRTGTTCCCCCTGGACGAGACGCGCATGACCCCAGGGAGCAGAGGCCTGGGGGAAGGACAGAGGAGGAGCACGGGTCGGAGCAGGGAGGAACCCCGGGTCCCCCCACCATGGAGACAGGAGTCATGTTTGGGCCTGAAATGGCCACTGAAGGCTCACGTGCGGAAGGCCTGTCCCCAGTGCAGCAGGGTTCAGGGGCTCTGGGAGGTGACTGGACCCTGACCTCAGCAGGGACTCACCCCCTGGTGGCTCACAGCTGATGGCAATCCTGGAGTGGTGGGAACTCCAGGGGGTGGGGCCACGTGGAGGAGGTAGGTCACAGGAGCATGTCCCTGGCCTTGTCCTTTCCCCTTCCTTCCCTCCTCTCTGCTGCCCRTGAGCAGCTGACCGCTCCCACACTCCTGCTCTGCCTCACCTCAGGCCTCGAGAGTGAAGCCGGCCAACCTTGGACGGAGGCCCYGGAACCATGGTCCACACAGACCTTTCCTCCCCTGGCCCAGTCTCCCAGGTATTCTGTCCCAGGGATGACGAACGGACCAACACCACACAGGAAAGTTCCAGAAGGTTCCAGGTCTGTTTACGAGGGGACCCTCATACCGGCATCCAGTGATCACCTAAACCAGGCCTTTTAGAGATGAAGACGGGCACTGGCCAGTGGGATCTGGCTGGTGGTCAGCAGATTCAGGTGTGACAAGCGCTTCTGAGACTTATCGCTCCTATTATAGTCTATTCTAATGTAACTGCCAAATATAAAAATGATTTTTTGTTTTTTAAGTTTGTACTGACACGTAAAAAAATAAAAATCATGAATTAAAAAGAAACAAAAACATGTCAAACCTTGAGAAACTATAGAAGAATGAAAACTGGAGAAGGTCACGAGAGGAGGCTCAGTGGGGAGTCGGGCAGGAAATGCTGTAGAATAACTGCACATCAGAGGTCACTGTGCCAGGGACTAATGAAGTCCAGGAGCRCTGACTGCGAACAGTGGACGAGCTATTATCAGCTCCAACTGCAACGGACTCAATGTTCCTCCCCCAAGTTCACATGCTGAGCCCCGACCTCCAGTTATGGTGTCAGGAGACAGGACAAGGTCAAGGGATGGAGCCCTCATTCAAGGGCCCAGAGAGCCTTCTGACCCTCCCCTGCCACATGGGGTGACCCGGGAGTCAAGCTGGAAGTCTGACAGAAGAGGGAGGCCCACCAGAGCCCCACCGAGCCGCACCCCGAGCCTGGACTTCCAGCCTCCAGAGCTGCAAGAAATAAGCTCCTGCTGTTTATCAGGCACGCAGTCCCTGGTGCCCAGTGACAGCCACCTGAGATGACACGGAGTGGGGTGGYGGAGTTTCTGTGCTGAGGACTTCAGCGAGCTAGGGGCAAGCCCGCCTGTGGGAGGCTGCGGAAAGGCAGGAGGCGTCCGTCTGGAAGAAGTTTGTTTTAATTTACTTGTTTTTTCCCYTGGGCTGTCCTGGTTTCATGACTTGTACACTTGCTAACAGACAGACGCCTTCTGCCTTTCCGCAGCCTCCCACAGGTGGGCTTGCCCCTAGCTCGCTGCAGTCCTCCGCACACACTCACACTCACTCACACACACTGACACACACACTGACACACACTGACACACACACTGACACACACACTGACACACACACTCACACACACTGGCACACACTCACACACACTGACACACACACTCACACACACACACTGACACACACTCACACACACTGGCACACACTCACACTGACACACACTGACACACACACTGACACACACACTCACACACTGACACACACACACACACTCACTCACACACACACTCACACACAGACACACACACACTGACACACATACACACACACACTCAGACACACAGAGATGTACACACAATTTAAAGAGTGATTTTGTAGAGAAGAGGGCTGGTTCACGTTTGTGTTTAAGTTAAAGCAACAGGTTAAATATTTAAATAGATTTCTAAATGGTCCAGAGAATCTGAGGCAATGACTCTAAGATCAATAAGACTTCAGTTTGTTTCTCCAGTGCTGGGAGTGAAGCCTGGCCTGGTGGCTCCAGGGGACCAGTCTGTCACATTTCCCGTCTCTGTGCCTTATAGCCCTCTGAGTTGCCACAACTTGCTATTTCAGGCAGATGATGTTGTGGGACCCAGAGACCCAGATCCTGTCCTCCCTGGGTCACCGACTCACCAGGAGTCGGGGGCCCCTCCTAACTTCTGGCCTCAGGTTTGCCGTCTGACAAATGAGGGGTCGGCTCCACCTTCTTTCCTCCCAGAGCACCCCTGGGTGATGCTCTGGGGCCTGCTTCCTGGGGGCACAGGAAAGGGCACTGCGACGGTTAAGTGGGACTGTCAGCTGGACTGGGTTAAAGGACACCGAGGAGACACTGGGATTGAGACTTCTGCGTGTGTCTCTAGGGTGTTTCCAGAGATGATTGGACASCAGACTGAGGGGGAGGACCTGCCTGGAGCATGGTCAGTGCTGTCCACCAGGCTGGGGCCCAGGTGGAACAGAAAGCAAAGGAGGACACCCTGCCGGAAGGCGAGCTGCGTTCTTCCTGGGCAGGCGCGTCCCTTGCTGCTGCCGCCGCCCACGCTCATGGCCCTTGTCCTGTGGTCCTCAGGGTGGACCTCCACACCTTCAGTCTCTGTCTGGGTCCCTCTTGTGCTGAGGCCCAGCTTCCTGACTGAGCAGCTCCTGGTCCCTCCAGCTCCCCAGACTGTGGACAGCCACGTRGCCCTGTCCAACTTGGGATCCTGCACGCCAGCCCCACAGGACACGTACCCTGTTGGTTCTGTTCCTCCAGGACCTGGCTAGCTCAGGGTCCCCGGGGCTGGGGGAGTCATGCATTTCAGAATCCCAGCCCCCGGAAACCTGCCCCTCATCTTGGCAGAACGTGGGGTGGGCTGGGGAGCAGGGGCATYGGCAGCTTCCCAGAGTTCTAATGACCCGGTGAGAAGGGGGTGCAGTCACAGGTGCCTCTGCCAACAGGCTGTCCAGGTGCTGCTCGGCACCCTGACTGTGCCGTCTGAAACTCGAGTGAGCTCCCGGTGAACTGGCCCCACCTCCACCAGGCCTCTCCTACAGGCGTGTTCGCGCCCAGGAGCGCTCTCGGCGGACCACGCTCCTCTTTGAGAGCTCTTTTCCTGGGACCACATGATTTATTCTTGCCTTCTCGTGGGTTCACKGCTCAGCTGCACAAGATGTGAGAACAGAGGCGCAGACTTCTCTGCACCTTCCCGGGCACGTGGCCTATCTGGCGCTCTGACGGGTGTGGTAAAGCACTCGMATGTTCGGGATCAATTAACAATAAGTTGGGTCATAGGATACATGTTTCTGACACTCTGTGTGTAATCTCAAGCCTTCACAGGCCCCAAACGTTCATCGTTGAAGTTGTTTCATATCTTTATAGACGGCCCAGTTTCACCGACATGGAAGAGACCCAGCCGGCTCCGGGGCTCGTTATGGACATCAGGAGGTAAACTGTGGGACGCGCTGGCTTTGCCCTGAGGAGCCAGGACCTTCTCRAGACCATGAGCACCGTGGCCCTCGGCAGGACCCGTCCCTGTCCTGTAGCACGTGGTGCTCCTACCCCACGGCCCCTGCCTGCAGCTGTGCCCTGCAGCACCCCCGGCCTGGGCTCAGGGGCACACTCACCTTCACACTTGAGCAGGAAGAAGTCCGAGCTGTGGCTGAAGGAGGCGCTGAAGTAGGTGCAGTTCTCAACCAGGTCACAGGACAGACACTGCCTGTTGAAGTTGCCCACCGTGTTGGCGCTGCGAGAGCAGAGATGCCGTGAACCAGAGCCCGGCACCCGGCCGCAACCTGGCAGACGGCTCCTGCGAGGGCGGCTGTGGTCCCTGCTGCTGACCTTCTGGGCCTTGTCCTGTCAGTCCCCTGCCTGGGCCCTGGGAGCCCCCCCCACATCTTGCCCACACCTTGGCCCCTGGGACTGGGTTTATGTGGTCACCTATGGCTCTGTGTGGCTTGGTGTGAGGACAGCTATGGTCCAGTACCCGTGCTCCACAACCGCCTGTGCTACTCTCTGAGTGGACAATTTGGCCATGTGGGGACAGCAGAGGTGTTGACACATCAGCCGTTCCTCTGAGTGCCAACACCAGCGTGTGAGAAGCAGGAACTCTGTAGACAGCAGCCAAAACCAACTCTGGCTGCTTCCAAAGCCCAAGCTCCCTAAGGGGTGACACGGCGGCCTTGGTGGTGCCCACCCAGTGGAGCTAGGTGAGTGGGGACTGCTTTGAAGATAGCACCCAGGCCCACCCTGGTCAAGTACAACTTCGGGTCCAGAAGGCCTAACRTGTATCCCCAAATGGAAAGATGCAGAGATGCCCAATCCCTGAGGAAGCGCTCCTCGGCACACCGCCTGGGCAGGGTCCACTCTGACCCCAGATTCCAGAAGGGAGCCTGTCCGGGCAAGCRTGGAGGTCCTTCAGGGGAGAGAGAGGGCAGCTTCAACCACACACCTTACTGGATGCCGCTGGCAGCTGCCTCCCCTCCATTTATGGATTTGGGAACTGCCTGATTTCAGTGACCCTAGCAGAGGAGCGGTGATGTCGGGTCTATGGAGAGAAGCAGCCTGCGATGGCGGGTGCTTGCCACCCTCTGCCAGCGTTCGACTCTCAGCACAGAGCGGGGGGCCACAGAGAGGCCGTGGCTCCTGCCCTCTGGTCTACACTGGGGGGTGCCCTCCCCAGCAGCCTGTTGTGGTCTCCTTCTSGTTGGGAGGTGCCTGGGGGTGCAGACTGTCCCTCTTCACCTGTGCCATCCTGGCAGGAAGCACCTGGGGCCAGTTTCACTTCAGAGCCCCAAGTTTCCTCCCAAGAGAACAGGGACCAGGCCTGGGTGTTYCTCATCCTGTCTCTCCAGACCTTGCGGCTAGACTCCTTCCCTGCCCCCCTGCTCCCATGTGGAGGGGGCGTTCTGCAGGCGGGAGGAGCCCGGGCTACCTGTAGAGCTGGCGTCTCCGCGGCAGGTCCTCCGTGCTCAGGAAGTAGCTGTGAAGAGGGCACGGCGCACAGGTTAGTGTGCCGCAGGGCATCTKCCCTCACACAGCCCGCGCGACCTGGGGGCGATGGGACACAACAGTGGGGGGCCTTGGGGCCCGAGGTGTCTCCTGCACCGCCTTCTCCTCAGTGCAGGGTCCAGCACCGCAGGGCTGTGGTGAAAGCGTCACCATGGCAGGGAGCCTTGCACTTTGGAAGTCGGCTGGAGGGGCAGGACGCGTGTCAGGGGAGGCTGGAGTGAGTGCCACCGTCTAGGACAGGAGGGGCTCGGTGCCTTTCCCTGCACGCACCAAYAGGATGGGACTAGAGATAGCAGAGCCCCCGCCAGCAAGTGGGGCCCAGCAGCCGCGCTCACTCACATCTTATTCCGCTTCTCATCGTAGGACAGGATCTTGGTCACGTCCCAGTCCCCGGAGGTGATGGACTGGATGTTGTCATTGCTGCTGTTGGGCTGGAACACAGACAGGCATCAGGAGAGAGGGGCTGGGCCCCAGGCTCGAGCCACACAGAGGAAGGCAGTGCCTCCCTGCCACTGCTGGTCTCTGCAAGGCCTGGCTGGAAGAGCCTTCCCGTCCCACCCTCCGGGTACCACCATCCCAGTTCCTCCGACCAGCATCTCCTGAGATGCAGGTTTGTGTGCTGCTGATGTTGTGTCTCTTACATTTGTGAACCTAGTGAGCAGAGTTCTTCCTCCAAGGGCCGCGGAGGGAGGAAAGGGGGAATGTGCGGAAATGGATGAGATCGGGCAAGAGAAAGGAGATGGGCAAAGGAGGGAGGAAGCCAGGCCCCATGGTGCACGCCTGTAACCCCAGTGGCTTGGGAGGCTGAGGCAGGAGGACAGCAAGTTCAAGGCCAGCCTCAGCAACTTCGTGAGGCCTTGTCTCAAAATAAAAAAATAAAAAAGTGGTGGGGATGTGGTTCAGTGATTGAGTGCCYCTGGGTTCAATCCCCAGTACCAAAACAAAGCACCCAAAACAAACTCCTCTAGTAATTCAAGAGATGCAAATCAAAAAGACTCTCAGATTTCATCTCACTCCATGCWGAATGGCAATTATCAAGAATACAAGCAATAGTATGTGTTGGCGAGGATGTGGGGAAAAGGCACACTCATAYACTGCTGGTGGGAYTGCAAATTGGTGCAACCAATATGGAAAGCAGTATGGAGGTTCCTCAGAAAATGTGGAATGGAACCACCATTTGACCCAGCTATCCCACTCCTTGGTCTGCACCCAAAGGACTTAAAAACAGCATACTACAGGGACACAGCCACATCAAGGTTTACAGCAGCTCAATTCACAATAGCTGAACCGTGGAACCAACCTACATGCCCTTCAATAGATGAATGGATAAAGAAACTGTGGTATATTCACAGTGGAATATTGCTCAGCATTAAAAGAGAATAAAATCATGGCGTTTGCAGGTAAATGGATGGAGTTGGACAATATCATGCCAAGTGAAGTTAGCCAATCCCCCARAATCAAAGACCGAATGTTCTCCCTATCATGGGTGCTGACCCATAATGGGGGAGCTGTGGGGAGAAATTGATTGGGCAAAGGGGAGGCAGGGAAGGGAAGCGTGCGTGGAGGCGGGAAGACGGGGGGATGAGGTGGACATCGTTACCTAGGTACACGTGTGACTGACTGCCCATGTGGTGGGACGCTACATGGTGTACAGCCAGAGACTGAAAAGCTGTGCTCCATTGTGTACAAGGGATCACAATTCGTTCTGCTGTCATGTTAACTAATTAGAACAAATTTCAAAAAGCCAAAAARAGAAAAACTGGAGGGAAGGAGGGGCAGTGGGGCTTGGTCACTCTCTGTGCCCTTGSCAAGGACAGGGTGGAGCAGAGTAGCTGATGATCCCACGTGCCCCACCCCAGTGCCTCAGTGCCCAGCACCATCATGGCAACAGTGGGTCACCAAGGGGCATGGCAGGAGATGTCTCCATGGTGACCTGGGTGTGAGGTGCAGCTGGGCAGCTGTTTTGGGCTGCTGGTGCCATGAGAGGCGGATACCATGACAGGTGGATGCCACAGTGGAGATCACTCAGGTGACAGGCCTGGGGCCAACCCCAGGACACAAACATGGGAGCTGGGGGATGGAAGGCCCTGGGAGGTCCRGGGCTGCTGAGTTCCAAAGCAAAGGGGCAGGCAGGGCGTGGGCACCTGGGCTAGGGGAGAACTTCTTCCTGCTGAATGTCCACAGGGTCCCCAGCAAACTCAGAGGCCAKGGTGGAAGGAACACATCTAAAATTCTTGACCTTGTTTGCCATGTCCCCGCACGAGAAAACAAAGCATCGGGGGGCTACAGAACCAAGACCACAGAAGTGAGTGGATGAACAGGGTTCACGGAGATTCTTCAAGTCACGTGATTAAGTGGTCTGAGCCCAGATGCCGCGCCTGACCCCTGCAGTAGAAGTGATTTGTATCCAAGGAGGTGCAGGTGTCTCCCCAGCACCCCAGGGCCCCTGGGTGCGGTGCTCCTTCCTGGAGTTTCCTTTTGAAACTGATTTCACAAGCTCCTATTTGCAGAATGTTTCTTATTAACGCTTTCCCTAAGTTCCTATTTACCTGCCCTGACCCCACATAACTTTAGATGGCCCCCCAAATGGGACCCACACACAGAGGATGGGTCTGTGATCAGGGACATGCCACTCCTGCACCTCCAGTTTCAGGGAAGAGTTCCTAAGGTTCCGCRTGAGGTAGCGCCTCTTAGGGTCACCTCTGAGCAGGGGATTGTATTTGCCAGGATGCACATTTTGGAGTAAAAAATCATGTCTATTAATCTCTGAGATCACTGCTCAGGGGTGCTCCTACCCAACCACTGAAGCCCAGAGTCAGGTGTTTGAACAGGGTCCCCTCTGCCACYGCCAGATGGGTCAGACGCTCACACTTGTGCCCTGGAGCATTAATGCAAAGAGCAAAGCTCCACCCCTGCCCTGCTCAGAACCTCTACCCAGGACAAGTGCAGCCTTCTGCCCCCGCCTCGGGAGCCCAGCCTGAGTGTCAGCAGCCTGGGTCCCCTGGGGCCCTTGGAAGGACATGTGAGTTTGGCCACGAGAAGCGAGTACCAACAGCACCTGCAGCTGTAGAAACCAGCAGGATTTACCTGGGATGAGGACACAGTGATGTGGTAGAACTTTCCTCGTCCCCCCTGCGGGATCGCTCTGACAAAGAAGAACTTCCGGCCATCCTTGGAGAACACTGGCTCTTCATTCTGCACACAAAGTCAACAGACCAAATCAACACAGGGCTCCGTCTGATTGAAGAGGGTGGACTGGGATAAGATGCACCCTGAGGTACATTTTCTAGGTGATTTCTAAAGAGATGCAGTTGGAAAAACAAGTGCTGTGTGGGGCCTCTCCTTTCCTTGGGGATCATGAGCCAAACGGGGTTTTTCTAGAAGAGACACAAGGGGAAATTAAGAGGCAGAGAAAAAGGCAGCCCTAGTTTCTAAAGCATGGGCCAAGAGACGGCCGTGTGCCCGTGACAGCTCACCTGAGAGCAGAGACTGAGCTCCGGAACACTCCGTGCTGCGCCCTCCCAAACACATGCTGCAAACCCCCGGGGACTGTGGAGTTCCTGCAGTGGCTTCTCTCACACACCAGGAGGAGCGCAATTCTGAGCAGTCACAACCTGCCCCTGCCTTTCAATCCTTTAATTCTTTTCCCTAATAAAAACCAGCCCACGCAGGGCATGGTGGCCCGTGTCTGCAATCCCAGGGGCTCAGGAGGCTGAGGCAGGAAGACGGCCGGTTCAAAGCCAGCCTCACCAACTTAGCAAGGGCCTAAGCAAYTCAGTGAGTCCCTGTCTCTAAATAAAATGTAAACAAGGGCTGGGGATGGGGCTCAGTGGTTAAGCACCCCTGGGTTCAATCCTGGTACCAAAAGAAAAAAAATCTACCACATACTGAATAGCCCATCAAGAAGAAGGAAAAAAACAAAAAAAAAAACAGGACAAATTCTATATATTCCAAAATGTAGGCTAGAGGACGGCACACCAGGGCTCCCYTCTCCAGGGAAGTTCAGCACAAGGCAGAACCGTGTCAGCAAGTKAGCCTGGAAACAACCAGCATCTCCCGTCTCCCCTGGGCTGGCCCCTGGATTCCAGACCAGAGGGGTGTATTGTCACTTCATCTCCGTCCTCAGGCCCCCTAGCACTGAGCTGCCAGTCGCTCAGCCCCAGSCCTCCCCAGCAGGGTGGCTGTCACTTTGATGGGTGAAAGGGGATTTTGCCACAGCAGCATCTCCGACTCTTTGAGGCTCACGGTTGAGAGTTTCCATCCGTGAACACCAATTAGTTGGCTACCTATCTATTTCCTGATTCCAGGAGCTCCATGCTGATGCAGGGATGAGGACAAATGGTCAACCCACCCAGCTGGCACAGGGAAACTCATTTCCCCGCAGTGAATGAACACATGCAAATATGATGTGCCCAGAGAAATCAACTAACGTGATTAAAATGACATTTAATCTTCATGAATATTTGCAATAAAATGAAACCTTTAATCTGCAAATATTGATTTTTCTATTTAGAGCTGGAAGTGGGGTATTTAAAAGCACAGGGAGTGGAAAGACCAGCCATTAACTGGCCTTTCTCCATGGACTTCTGTTTGCCCACAGCAGGACGGGCAAGGTGGTATTCCTCATTTTCTGGGGGGAGATGTTTGTACTTCTGGCAGAGATTAAATGTGGTATAATTAATTCTGGCCAGAGGCATTGTGTTTACAATGAGAAAGCCTCGGCATTGGGATGCGACCTTTCACGGCTCCATGGAAACCCTCCTCGTACACCAGCAAAGGCCCCTGCCCCGAGGGCTGCTCTCGGACTCCGCTCCCGAGTGGGGAATGTGGCTAGTGCCAAGCCCAGGGCTTCCTCACCGGGGTCTGGATTTCAGTCCTGGTTCTGCTTCTCCTTTGACCTGGGGGGCCTTCCCAGTCTCTCTGGTATGGCTCCTGGCTCCCAGGACTCCATTCACTGCAGGTCCATGAAGAGGGAGTCCTTGTGTTGGCGGGACACGCTCTCTGGGCTCTTGGGAGCATTTCTGCCAATTCTTTCCATGATTCACATGTATTTGTCTTGTCCAAGCTCCCAGCCCAAATCTTGAAACCACAGACCCTAAATCTGGTTAAGGAAWCAGACCCGCAGAACTAACTTCAAGCAGATGACAGGCTCAGGTGCTGGGCTGTGGAGACCTCGGGGTGGACGGAGGGCACTGGCCATTGCTCTGGGTATTCTTGGAGTCCAGGGCACTTGCTGGCGTCCACACAGGCCTTCGCCTCTTCTTTTTGGCTCCTCTCTGTGGGTTTTGCTGCACTCTGAGAAGTGCAGGAGACAAGGCCCAGAGAGGGCTGGCGGTGCTGCCGTGGTTCACCCAGAGATGCTGCAACAGGGACCTGGACACTGGTTCCTCTGGGCAGACAGGCGGCCTCAGGCCTGCAGGACTTCCTACCTCATCTCTCCTACACTGTCTGAGGCAAGCTCCGGGGACCCATTGGAGATGATGTTCGAGGGACTGTGGCCTCAGCGTGGGTCTCCCTTGATTGTTCCTGCAGACCTCTGCTATGTGCCCCTAAGCCTGAAGAAGCAGCCACCAGCTTGGTGGCAGTAGGCGGCAAGTCCAGACTTGGTTCCTAAGTCACCCTCCAGCACATCACAGCACCTTGCAGGATGCAGAAACAGGAAAGAATATCTTTGAAAAGCAGGGTGCACAAATTCTTTCCTTTAGGGAAGAAGGGGGCAATGAGAAGCCGTTTGCATCTGGATCTCACCAGGGAGCCATGCTCCACACAGATGCATGGTCTTAGGATGTCCAGACACGTCCCCTCTCCTCTTGCTGTGGCCCCAGCACAGCATCTGGGAGAATGTTTCTCTAACAGAACGTGAGGCTTGAAACTAAGGGCTGCTTGTATAGTTTAAGCTTTTGTTTATTATAATGTTAGCTGTTTGCTACTAAATGCCTTAAAGTTTACCTTTTAAAACCAAAAGAGTGATTATTTTTATCTCTGCAACTTTCAAGTGTTGAGTTGCTGGGCTGGGAAGGACCTGGTTTCTGAATCCCATTCAGGATGTCCACCCTGTGCCTGGGTTGGTGTCCATGAGAAATGCAGTCAATAAGACCAGAAAAGTCCAGCTGGTGATCCAAGGCCTCTCTGCAGCACCGAGGAAAAGAGGAGCAGAGGGCAGGTGGATGGTCGGTCCCCAGCCCCCGAGGACCATGCACTACTGTCCATCCAGGAGTGAAACCCTGGTGTCGGCCAGGAGCACTCTGGGAGATGGGCAGGGAAGCAGGAGTGGGAGCCTCTCTCCTGTGGTCCATCAGCCTCTCCTGCCCTCCACCGGTGACCACTGCTGTTAGTCCCCACTCCCCAGCACCTGGTGACCCCGCAGTCTCCTGAGTTAAGGACCTTGCTGACCCTGGACACTTTGTGGGAATGGAATCACACCACAGGTGGCGTTTGTGTCTGGCTCCTTTCCCGGTCACAGCCGTAAGGTGGGAACCACCCCAAATGCCCACCTTTCCTTGTCTCTTGATGGACGCTGACTCCTTACCTTGCCTGCCACGAATAACGCTGCCATGAACACAGGAGCTCCGATGTCTCTTCAGCGTTTTCACTCTATGCCCTTTGGCTCTCGCCCAGAATGGACTGCTGGATCACACGCAGGTCCATTTTAGTTGTGCGGCTTCCCTAAGGCCTTTGATAACTTCCACTCCTGTTCCCTTCCTCCACGCCCTCTCCAGCACCGTCCTCCAGTTCCCGACAAGTGCCATTCCACCAGACCCGGGGCACAGCTCCTTGAGATTTCAATTTGCATTTTCTGATGACAATGACTTTGAGCCTTTAAACACACCCGTTGGCGATCTCTGTGTCTCCTTTGGAGGAACTCTGTTCCGATCACTTGCCCATCTTTGGACGGAGCTTCTTGGTCTCTCCCTACTGAGTTGTCTGGGATCCTTAGGTAGTGGGGCTGCACCCTGCGTGGGGCTGCAGGCTCTCCTCCTGTGGGGCAGGTCATCTCTTCCCCCGAGGTCTCCTGGGCCATGCAGGGCCATTTCTCTACTGTGGCTCTCATTGCCTGGGCTCTTAGGTTTGAATCCAAAACACTACTGCCCAGCCCAGTGGTCACRGAGCTTCCCCGCGTTCTCTGCTCGTGGTTGGGTGGCCTCAGGCCTGCCGTTTGAGTCTGCAGTGCCCTTGGAGGTAGGTCTTCTCCCCGATCCTGCCTCCCCTCTCCCACGCCGTTTTGTTCCACTGATGGAGAGTCTGTTCCACCACCACCATGCYGTTTGGTCACGAGGGTCACGTTCTGCCACTACAGCTTCCAGGTGAGTTTTGGAGTCAGACAGTGTGATCTCTCCAGCTCACACTCAGGATTGCTTTGACAATTCAGGGTCTTTTGTGGCTTCATGTGAATTTTAAGGTTGTTTTTTCTATTTCTAAGAAAACTATCACTGATGGTTTTAATAATTGATTTATGAATATTTACTAAACATATGACAATACAGATAATGGATATTTAAAATTGATTCTTTCCAGTCTGACATTTCAACTGATAACATGAAAACATCACTTTTGATAGCAGGTGCTTGGTCCAGGTGACATTCAACAACTTTCAGTTGCTCAGTCTTAGGGCTCCTGAGTTTTCTCTCATTCTTGATGACTTCTTGGTTTGGACTTGGCACCCAAGTTTGGTCCCAGGGAAACGAAAGTGGTCCCACTGAACCTTTCCTCTTTTGTATCAGAAAAAAAGATGTGTTTAAAGTAGCCATGTCCATTTGTGAGGTCTCTCTCCCTGCGATGATTAACAGAATCTGTGACGGATCGCTAGCTCCACACTTAACAAAGTACATAGCAGTCTGAGCACTAGAATGTTCTTGGAGGGCCTCTGATGATAGTTTTATTGTCCAACTTTAGTTATTTTTCATAAGTAGAAGRTACTGTTTCCATAGAAAAGCGTGTTTGTACTATTCCACAATAATTCTTGAGGATTTTAAGACAATTTTATTCCTTAGTTGGGATAGGAAGAAAGAACATATCAAAACATTTTCCTACCTGTTCTTTCTAAAGCAAGAGCTTGGAATGAGACAAAAAGAGCTGAAGAAAGAAAACACCAGTTGTTACGGTTTGGATCTTGATGTCCCTCCTGAGCTCGCTGTGGAAGGTCCAGTCCCTGGTGCAGCCGTGTTCCGAGGTGGGTTTGGGGGTGACTGGATCTTGAGGGCTCTGACTCAGTAGTGGGGTGACCCATGGGTGCATTCAGGCTCCTCGGGCTTGTGGGGAGGGCCTTCGTTACAAAAGCAAACTCTCTCTGCTTCTCGGGCACCAGGAGGCCAGCAGCTCTACTCATCACCAGCTCCTGGACACGTGGCACTGTCTCACCTGAGGCCACGCAGTGGGCCCAGCGACCAGGGACTGTGAACTCTGAAACCACGAGCCAAAATAGACCTTTCCTCCTTACACACTGGTTCGCTCAGGCACTTTGCTACGAAAATGGACACAGTAGTGCTGGGGGTTTCTTGTGTGTGAGTTTATTATTTATTTTTAAAGGATTGTCACAGGCTGATTTACCCCAGCTTCTCCCAATCTCTCTTGACTGGTGTGTGTGTGTGTGTGTGTGTGTGTGTGTGTGTGCCACGCCCCAGTCCTTGTCTTTTTAGGCTCGAACTCCCACAGCCTCTTCTAACGTACCTGACTTTATCTGAAGGTTAAAGAGCTCCTGAAGGCTGTGAGGAGGGGCCTGGTAAGTCTCAACGGTGTCCCCTTTGGGTTAGACATCGACAAGACCACCCCAGGAATAAGCAGGGGTCTTGACCAGGCTGCCCTTCTCTTTAGCCAGCTTAGGTCACGTTGGCAATGTTCATGGACTCATCATTCTGGGTTCACCCAGGGACCGCATTAGAGAACCTCGGTCTCTCCAACACTCTGTCCCAAAGAGCAGCGATTTTCTGCTGTTTCRGGGAACTCAGCTTCTGCAGTCCTGCCCCGGGGGCTTCCACTGCCCTCCCATCCCGGGAGCCGTGCACACTTCTGTGCTCCTGGCTGGGGAGCCCCGTGTGCCTGGGCGGGAGAAGCCGTGGGAAGGGACAGACGAGGTCCTGCAGAGGGCTCGGGAGGGTGAGAGCACTCCTCAGGGACAGTTACCTGTCTGTGCAGCCAAGCTTCACTCTCATCCTCGTGTTTCTGAAACAAAATAAGAGCATTAGAGAGGGTTTTGTGTCGTCTGCGCTGCGTGRTCAACAGTGCAGAAAGCAACCTGTTCTCCTGCACGGCGGCTTCGCGAGCATGGGCAGCACGACAAGGAAAGGAGGCGCCCCCGCTCCTACTGTGGCTCAGCGCCAAACACAAGTGTCCTTGAACAAGAAGAGAGCCATTGTCCCTGACGACAAGTGCCATCCCCGCCAGAGAGGAATCCCACGGAAGACGGTGGCACTTACTCCACTTGGTGTCACGCTGGCCAGCTGTGTGTCCCTCTGGTGGTCACTGCTGACCAGGCGTGTGCCCACTTACAGGCAAAGCTMGGGTGCTGCGCTGCTTTACGGTTCTGGTGTGTACAGGGGAACACTGTCATAATCTAATCTGACGCTCTAAGGAGCAATCCTGGTGGGTTGAAACCCTTTGAAAGTGTTAAAATATGAGAAAAGATCTCACAGGATTGCACAGAAAGATGCACCAACAAAAATAAAGCCCCAAACACTAGGGTGAAGCTGTTGGGCACACTTGATGCCATCCCAGGGCACCAGGGGCTGGCACAGGCCTGCCCACGGGCTCCTTGGTGGCTGCTTTTCAGCCTGGGCTTTCTGGGTGGGAGGAGCGCTGTAGCTGACACATGCTGATTGGGCACAGAGAAGATGTGTCCGGCCTCCGGCTCCCAGAGGAGCCCCTCAGAACAAACCAGAACCTCCAAATGAGATCAGAGGCAAGGAAATCCCTGACCAACTGGAAACAAGTCACTGGGGTAGCCCAGCCACTGCCTGCACCACCCAGGTGGGATGTCCCAGCCCTAAGGTCACTTTCCATTCCCAGAGTTTCTGAAAGGCCTGGCTGAGTGTGATCATGGGGCTCAGAACTTGAGGCCAGGGACCTGCGCTCCTGGCTGACCAGCCCTGTGGCTGCAGTGTCCAGCCTGGAGGGGTGGCCTGCCTTTCTTGACTCTACCGCATGTTGTCACCCAGGCTCTTGGACGCCTTGCTGGGGCTGCATGTACTGGGGAGGGAGGAGCCTGGCTCTGGGTTGAGGGGAGGAGACAGCAGCAGAAAAGTGCCCTCCAGGCTGAGGGACGCTGCACCGGGGCTCCGGCCTGAGCCTGTCCTTTCCCCTCCTGGAGCATCAGCTAGAAAGCTGGGCTCCTCCGCAACTCAGTGGTGCTGGGTAGAGACCAGGCTCTGCAGGTGCTGCAAGGAGGGATCCGGTGGCCAGCTCGCAGGGATCCTGGGCTTTCGCAGCAGTCCCAGAGTAGCCCACCAGGTGGCACCAGAGCCAGCCCAGCCAGGGACCACCTGTRAACCCCTCCAGGGCCTCCGCCTACCTTGGTGCAGACCCCGGTGGTGGCATCACACAGGGTCAGGATGGACACGTTCTGTGCGCGGTTCAGCCAGGTCACAGCCACCTTGGTGCTGGTCGCCCACTTCACCATGGTGATGTAGTACTCCCTGCAAACACGGAAAGGCACAGAGTGAGCAGCCTGTGGGAGCACAGGAGACCAGGAGCCTGTCACACCACAGCCCTGGGGACAGGGTCCATGACCATAATGTGTGTGACAGAGGCCGCTGCAGTTCCAGAGTGGGTTTGTCAAGAATGCAGGAGGACACAGAATCCGGTGGGCAGCCAGGCACTCTGAGACAGCCACTGCCGGCACCACCCAGGTGGGGATGTCCCCGCCCTGAGGTCACCCGGTGGACGTGGTGTACCGCTGATCTGGGCTTCATCCACAGGCAAATGCCCAACTCCAGAGGCAGTGGTGGGGAGGGATGAGAGGCAGGGCGGAGAAAGAGCCAGGCAGGGGGGAGAGAGGGGCCAGAGAGGGGCTTCCTGGAGACCCCAGCTCCCAGCTAATGAGGGCTGCCATGGCTCTGCTGTGCCCTCCTCCTCCTTAAAGTCAAAATGCCCAGTGCAGTTCTCTGTYGGACTGGGGATGCTGGCTCTTGCTTCAGGTGAGCTGGGTTTGATCTCCTAAGTGTTACATGCCTGCTTTTGCCCAAACCTKAAAATAACACTGTGCTCTGTGCCCCTAAATTAGAGGGAGGGAAACTGGGGCTTTGGGTCACTCTTTCACCCAGAGCTTTCCAAAAAAGTGTGACCCCTCTCCCCAATCTTACCTTTAAGAAGAAAATGTCAGGAAACCAAGTGCCCAAAAGTAGTGGCGGGTGAATGCCAAGAATGTTCTAGAAGCCAGCTAACACTGTTCTGTCACCTACACCAACGTATCTATAATGAGATCTACTGTTTAGAACCACTACTTTGTGGTCTCACAGGACCTTTTATCACTAAAAGCTGTGGTGCATCTCCAGGCAACAGGGGAGCGGCCTCACTGCACAGAATAGTAATCCTAACAGAAAGGACTAAACAGCAGACGCTTGGAGCCAGCCCTCCTCAACCAGGAAATCCAATCGCTGAGGGCCTCGAGTTGCCCAAGTCCACCTGCTAAAAACCGAGTTTTCAATAACGCCCTAAATCAAGGGTACATGACAATGAGGAGTCTCCAAAGGGAAGGAGTCTGACCCTGGCCGTCCCCGGCATGGGGCCAGGAGGGGCTCTGGACCTGCCCGTGCTGGGAATCTGCAGAGGACACGGTGGTGAGCAGCACCCCAGATACGTGCACAAAGAGCCTGGCACTTGGGCATAGTTCACAATGATTTTCAAGACGCAGCCAGTTGTGTTCACACCACCTGCTCCCCAGCCTGCAGGCCCTGCTCCCCGTAAACRGGCTGGGTGTTTACCAGGTCTGTGATCTCCCTCTGTCCTCTGCCCTGGCTTCTGCTCCAACAGACAATGTGCTCTTTGGSCCTCATTTCCCAAGGTCCCAGCAGTTTCACTGCCCTAGGGCTGGAGCAGCGTTTATGAAGATGGAATTTGTTATCTCTCTGAACATCTGCAGGCATAAACATTTTACTTCACTTTGATCCTTAAAAATATTTCAAGATCTGAGCTCGGGACTTGCTTCACATGGAACAAGTTCTATCTTTYGCGGTATCACAGCCGGTCTTCCAGTCTGCATGGGATTAAAGGGCTCTGGGAACAATGGACAGGAGTGACTCATGGCCTGGGAGCTGCTTCCCTGTCCAGGAAGTCTGCACCCAGGCTGCCTGTGAAGCCTCACGGGCACCGCGTTCACTCTGCCAGCACACGTTGCATGGGCATGAAATCAAGAAGGAAAGGGAAGAGCCCCAGGATGATGGATTTTCCCCAAGACCCTCATACTGGGTAGGGACAAGCCTAGTTTTACTTCCATTTGTTGGAAACATCCTGTGTGTCTTCCTGGTTTTTAGGGTGGTGTTCTGCACAAGTCTTCTTCATAGGGGTCAAAGAGGCCTGTGTGTCATTGTCAACTTTCTATGTCCTAATTTTGCATATGAAACATCATAAATTGAAATTCATGGGTGGATGCAAACCTCCTTTTGGTAACCAAATCCCTAGCAACACTGTTGGAACAAGTCATCAAGAATGTCCCGTGGGGAGCTTGGGCTGCAGCCGGGGTCCTTGGCAGCGGTAGCAACTCCGAGGCCAACCTAGCTGTTCTCCGGCTCACACTTGAAGTCCTCGGTCACCAAACGCCTAARGCAGCACAAGCCTCCTGCATGGAGCCAGGGCAAGGTGAGGACACTGCCCGGGAGAGGCCACCTCCAGAAGTGGCAGCCACACCATTTCTTTCTCTGAATGTTGTGAAACACCTGCTACTGAGTGGCGTGCTACATCCTCTTCCATTTCACTTCTCTAGTTGGGAGGAAGGGAGCTGAGTGGGTGGGGGTCACTGTACTAAGAATGAGGCTCCAGCCTGCCCAGTGTCCAGGGAGCCTTCACTGGTGTGGTGACCTCCTGCCTGGGGGGTGACCTTGGCTGGTGTGGTGACCTCCTGGCTGGTGTGGTGACCTCCTGGCTGGTGTGGTGACCTCCTGGCTGGGGTGTGACCTGGCTGGTGTGGTGACCCCCTGGTTGGGGTGGGGTAGCCCCCTCCAGGTCTGAGGAAGCTTTACAACTAACTTTACAGGGGACTCCATCGCTCACGTTCTTCATTCATGTGAAATTAAAGATAAACTGCGGCACTTTAGAGAGTTTTATGGTGGTGAAATATGAGACCTATTTTAAAACCCTGAAACGATAAACACCAAGACTCTGTAAGGATGATGTAGTGAGAGTTCTTTAAAAGGRAGCTCTTCAGCCTCTGTCTCCCCCATGAGCACAGGGGGGTGTCCTGTGGGCATGTGCCCCTCCTCCCACCCATCCCTGTCCAAATGCCCCGGACCCTGCCTCGCCCTGGGGCTTTACATTGATCKCATCAGTGTGCAGAGATGTCCCATCATTTCCTGACCCTAAGAACCGCACTCTGCCATCAGACTCAGTGCCAAGTGAGCTCTGGTCATTTAAAAGAATTTTTTAAAATTCTTTTTAGTGGTCGAGGACCTTTGTTTTTATTTGTTTATTTATATGTGGTGCCCAGAATTGAACCCCGTGCCTCACACATACTAGGCAAGTGCTCTACCACTGAGCCTCAACCCCAGCGCGAATTCTGGTTATTTTTAAGAAAACCAAGTGCAGTTGCCACAAGGAAGCTTCACCACCTGGCCTTCAGAGGAGGCCGGGGCACCTGGGCGATGGCAGGCTCAGTGCCTCCCCAGGGTGACCCCGGACRGAGGGCCTGCTCCTGCTGTGTGAGGTTTGTAGCCATGGACAGGGCCCGCGTGGTGCTCTGAGGTGGCCCTGGCTGCTCTGCCACCGTGACTTATTTTTAAAAGGACATGTTTTTTTTCTTCCTCTCCCCCTGCTCCTCSCTAATCTCTCCCCTTCCCTAATCTCAGGGGACACAGGGTCACCTTCCCCCCATCCCAGGGAGTCACCTGTCCCTGAGCACACACCCACCACAGGAAGGAAGTGATTCAACTTGGATGGCACCGAGGGTCTCAGAAATGACTCTCTCCAATTAACAAGTGGATTACCACTCCAACAGAGAACACGACTAGCCTTTGGGTCACTCTTTAAAAGCCCCCGGCAGTGAGGGGCTCCCCGTCCTACCGCACACTGTGTTGGGCTCCGTTTCAAAGCTGTCAGGAAAAAGTCACAGACAGAAGAAAAGGCTGAGCTGGCTTACACGGCACGGCCACATCAGCGTTGTAGCATGCGGTGGGGCTGGCCAGCAAGTCCAAGGCGGCCTCTACCAACCTGCGTTATTATGGCCACAAAGATGAGAAGACGTCGTGGGAAGTCACGGTGCCGCTGACTGTAGTGCTGGGGCTCTCTCAGGGCAGCACAGAGAAGCCAGACCCAGGTGCACTACTCAGGCGCACCACGGTCCCCCACGGTCCCATCCGTTCCTCCAAAGTTCTGGGCAGCCTTACAACACAATGGCTTACATGAGAATGAATTTAATACTTCAAAAAGATGTCATTCCAAGTCCTGGGGAAACAAAGATTTCGGCCGCCAACAGGGCCCGAGAAATGGCTTAAGTATTAAAAACAAGAAGACGAAGAAGCAGAGAATGGCCCAAGGAAGACAGTCGCAAGGCAGAACTCGCMGCCTGCCCACAGCCGTTACCTGAGGGCATTCCACTCTGTACCGCGGTCACCTTGAGGTGAGAAGCAGGTCCTGCCCAGCAGGCTGGGGACTCTGATGGGGCTGTGGATAGCTCACACCCACGTATTTCTTCTCACTCSGGAGACTTAGGGGTGGGGACAGGGAAGGAGTGACACCCACCCACAAGAACAGAGGACAGCAGGAGGCCGCAGACCCCAGGTCCTTCCTCCAGACAGAGGGACCAGAGCCACAGGGTGCTTTGCTGGGGGAGGGGTCGACATACTGTGAGCGGAGGCCAGGAGGGGGCCTGGGACTTGCAGCACAGAAAGAATGCCGTGTGGCAGGAGATGCAGAGGAGACAGGGGTGTCCCAAGTCTTGGGTACAAGAGGCGAGAAGGAAGGTAGAACTCACTTGGATCTTTGTTCCATGATCCAGAAGCCCTTGGAAGSAGACCAGGGACCAGTGTGGGACCAGCACCAGGTGCAGCAGCAGCACTGAACGCTGGGCCCTCGGAGCGCGACCCCTGACCTGGAGGGATGGTGACCCTTTTCAACCCWCATTTTACATACAGCTAAAGTTTTAAACAAACGTGAGAAAAAGGAGACACTTCTGTATCTGAGAATCAGGGAGTTTGCTTCCGGCGGCCCTTCCCTGGACTGGCACCTGGAGGTGTGCTGCAGATGGGCAACGAGGTGGTACAAGGCCCAGGCCACGGCGCCCGCCTGGGGGCAGGGCAGGACGGCCTCGGGCACAGCTGTGGAGAGCAGCCAGGCCATCCTGCAGCAGGCCGGGYGCCCGGAGAGCTGGAGTTGGGGAAAGGAGCGAGAAAGAGAGCCTGATAGAACYTGGGGAAGAGAGGATGTAATAACATCAAATGTTCAGGAAACCCCAGAAACAACGTAAGGTCCAGGAAAAATAGAGAAC